AAGGGGATATCCCAGTTCTTGCTGTGATATACTTCATGTGTGATGTACATATTGATTTATATTAAACATGAAGTCTATTTTTGTGCTGCAAAAAAATTTTTGCAGCAGGAAAACAAAAGTAGAATATTTATTAGTTACTGCTGCAGCTCACTGCTGCAGGCTTTGAGTCACATGGTAAAATCAGGTTTTACATGTATTTACTAAAATCAGGTTAACTGTCACATTATTAGGATCTTTCACAAACTGGTATATAAATTAATGGGCTGTGTTGGTTGTTGAAAGAGTCATAATCTGAAAAACAGAATTTAAAGCATGTTTTATGTCATTTCACGTGTTTGACAGAAACACAAGGTGGGGTAGGTAGTCAGAGTCGTGACCCAGGCATATGTTTTGCAGGGCTCAAAACTTTTTAAGAATAAAGGGAATGATTGCAATTTGCAAACTGTCTCTTGTTGTAATTTGCTTTCACTATTGCAGCAGTGTGTGTGTGTGTGTGTGTGTGGGGGGGGGGGGGGGGGCACCCTGATTTTGAGAGATTAATGAATTATAATTACTATATCAGGCAGAGATGTGCTAATAATGTGCTAATAATGAAGATTTCCAGTAATCGCTTATAATAAAGGTGGTGGGTACTCTCCACCAGAGGACAGCACGATAATGAAATGTGTGATTATCATATGCGTGTAATAAGCATAGAAAACGATCATTCACCTTTCTACAGATAACGAAGCACGTGGGGTTAACCCATTTCTGCTGGTCATAGGTTCATGCCTTTTTCTGGTGATGCGCATGCTCGGTTAACACATATCTGCTGGTCGTGTGATTGTGCATGCATCACATAAAATAGACATAAACCCACAATCAGTGGAAATGGGTTAACCGCACATGTGCTTCGTTATCTGTGGAAAGGTGAATATTTCTGGAGGTTCCAGGGCTAATAAAAGTCAATATTGACATCAGGTGTCATCACCAAACACAATATCAACCTAATATGATAATTTATAATTTTTACTGGTAACCTGAGTCACTGTGGAGGTGATTGCCTCATACACTTTTGTAAAAATAATGTCTCAATTTGTTTTTACTTGGGATGCCTTCCAGTGCTTTTCAGTTCTAGATGGAAATCGGATATGTGATAAAATTATATTTACACATGTCTGTGTATTATATATTCCATTGAAAATCCCATTAACTTATAAGTTGTGTTATTCTGAATTTGATGCAGACGGTTGTGTGTTCTCTCACCTCCTCCCAGCACTGCTCTTTGTTACCAAGGTAATCCATGGTTTTTGACCAATCGGATAAAACGAAACATTTCATCCATCGTAGACGAACAATCTTCAAGGGCATTGACATTCAGGTTTAAAATTATGTAATAAAGCAATTATTGATGTTTGCTTTCAGTTAATATCATGTTGTTTTGCAGACCTCTACCAATTTATGTCAATAATTGTGTAAAATCTAGCGAAAAAAAGATTGGTAGAGGGCAAACTGAAAGAATAAAGTAACTGCAGCCAGCTGAGCTGAATGTACCCTGAGTTTCAAAGATAATTGACATGAGGCAAGCTGTAATATGAGGCGAGATCTGAGTGACCTCTACATCTATTTTCTGATAGTCTTCCAAATTATCTTAGTCGATCCATCCTCCATTTTTGAATGTCTTCCGACAGTAAAAGTTAGACGCCCATCAATGTAAACTTGAAAAATTCTGACGGTCTACCGGAAGACCCAAAAGACGGCCTTCTTCCACCCCTGTGAGTACAGCATTGTAATCTGTATTATTTAAATATGTAAGAGGCATGTTTTTTTTTGTCAAAATAAAGTAAGTTTTTGAATTGGTTTGCAGTATTTTCTATAATATGCCATGCTTAAAATATAATATAAAAGGTCCAATAGATTGAATTGCAAAGACACTTGTACCATGCTCTGGGTGGTAAGACATATGTTTTAGTTGAGGATCATTCATTTAATTTTTCTAATTAAAGCCATATTAAAAATTCTGTAAAGCCATTTTCAGGGTAGAAGCAATGAATAAAAATTAGTAAAAAATCAATTAATTTCACACTTAATTGACTACAGATTACCACACCTTGGGTAGCAAAAATTAAACGCCACGTGACGGCAGAATAACAATGCTCCTCTCCCTGCAACAATATAAGGCTTTAAATTTCTGCCTCTGCTTTTTATCTTCACACGCAAGGCATATCAATCAATAGGTGCCCACCGCACTTCATTTCCGTACACATTATTAACGCATTCATTTATTGGCACCTGATGAGAGAGATAATGACCAGCATCAAAGAAAATACCATGGCCACATTTTAATTGAAAGATCCTTTACATAATTGCAGAGAAATTAGGATGAACTTTACAGTTAGTCAGTGGGATAAGTTTAGGATGAACTAAACATTAATTTGTCTTAAATGATTTTTGATAGAAATGTAATGAATTTCAATAATATTAGTATTAACAGCACTCTTTGAACTTCCAAGATTTCTTTTCTCTCTCGATCTTTTCAAACATTTAATGTGCCATGATAAGCTGAATGAAATATTTTAACAGTTTGTCCTCTTGGTTCTAATCTTATGCTGGGCATCTTTAACAGAATGGACAAAAATGACATTAATATAATTACAAAATTTATTTCCTTTTCATTGCTCACACACAACTGACAGTGCATAGCCATTCTTCAGCAACATTTCTCCTTTAATCCGTAAATATGATGCAGTAAAATATTTGTTCTACTAAATAAGCCGCAAAATAAACTGTGTACTCAATAAGTAACATTCAATGGTACTCAGACAGGGTTAACAATCAGCTACTTAAGCAATGCCCTTATAAATGTGCACAAAAAAAAAAAAAAAAATCATCAACATTCCAATTTCCTTAACTGAACCACCTCTTTTACCTGAACACATAACGTTATTTGGTGGCGTGCCAAATATTAACATTGCACTTATATCTTGAAAATAGAGCACTGAAAATTGACTAAACCATTTTGCAAGAGATACGTGTTCAGTATATATCATAGTTTTTCAGTGTTACACATTTCAAACACCCCCACCGTGTTAAATGGCAAGATGCAGATTTGGAGGGCAGCTCGTTTCTTACATTAACAACTGTGGTATCAACAATTGGTTATCATTAAGCCTACACATTATCTGTGACCTTTTGATAATAGATTCCTTATAAATATATATTCATGCAATAATTGTCATGGCTTCATGGAAGGCATAAAACTGGAGCAAACACACAGTACCTGAAGCATGCTAACAAATTTGGTCTTCATGTCGACAAAAGAAAAATTTCAACAATTTTTTTTTCAATCAGAGGAAGGGATTTATGTACAGTAATTACTCGATCTTTTCAATGGGGATAAATTATCAAAGTTTCAGATATAAAAATTTTATAATCACAAAAATTAAAATTTCTAAATTTCAGCATTTGTGGTGCTTTACTTGCAAAGAACAACCTGCTTTTGAATTAAGTTGCTAACACTCCATAGGAATGTTCTAATTTAAATATGAATTAATAAATACCGTAACTGTAAAATTCACTATTTTCCTCCTATTGAAAAGATCGAGTAATTACCCTATGCAGTTTTATCACAGATATTAAGAACTAATTAGTTAAGTATGATCACGTTTCTGTTAACATGGGTGACATGGGTGTCCACAAACCCCCCCCAAGTATGGGGGAGTGCCGATGAAATGGATGCCCTACTGTTATATGCATTTTTATAATGAACAGTAGAAATTTGTTTCATGTGTAATGCTTCTGCAGCAATAAACAGCACAGAACAAATAAATATTGCTACTTGAAACTTGCTCCTTATTTGCCTAGGGGCAATTTCCCATTGCAGGGGCTTTTTTTTTCTTGAATATTAATATTCCTTTCATAGATTACACACATCCAATTTAACTCCTCAAGCTTGCACACAAAGATACAAAGGAAATTAAACAAGTAACATTTTTTTCATGTTGCACTGGGGAATTGAGTACCAAATAAATTGCCCCATCTACCTTAACCTTGATAAACTGAAGCCACTTTGTATACATACAGCATCTTCAACTTCAAAACAATCAAACACAAAACCACCAATTACTACTTTCACATGTTAAACTTGAATACCATGACTAATGATAAAATATTTCAGAATCTTCCAAAATTCATTACACACAGCAACTAAATAACAGACAGAACATTTAGTCCACACCAGCAGACACTTTTACTTTTCAGTGAGAAGAAAACTTTCAGATTGCATATTTGTTAAAATAGTATTTGATCTTTTAAAGGGACACCTTACGTCACCAAGGGTAAGAATTCTGCATATTCCCTCTAACACGTTTTGATCAATTATCACGAAACACTGAACAACAGTTCAAGAATGTTTTGGCAAATTTTCAAGCCAGTCTTGGCCACTGTCACACAAAAGTATGCAGTGTTGTTATTTCTGTTGTTGTTTGCGAATCCACATCAGTTGCTATGGAGACAGTTGAGATGGTCTGTCCTAGATCCCCCGTGCCACACAATTCCTTCATGGACTTCACGTGATATTTCACTTGCTCCACTCCCAGCACGACTCCCTGGCGCACGCGATATGCAGCGTTACTACTGGATGCTCGGATCTGCTGCATGTACAGGTTGCTGGATTGCCGTATATGCTGCATGCGTTGCGAGCTAGCCTCTCGAAAGTGGGTCAAGCTTTGCCGGCTAGAGGCCTTGATGTTGTTAATTCCGTCACGCATTTGTCCCATGCGCTTTCCAACCCCCTTTGCCAATCGCCCTCGTACCTCCTCCAAAGTGGATCGAATATCTGCTGAACCCGATTTATTCTCATTGTCACTATCGTAATCATCATCACCTTCTTCATCCCATGATGCAGCATCGTCTTCGCAAGATTCATAAGGTGTGGAATAGAAGTACTTTTTAGGGGATCCTTCTGGGGACCAGTATTTAAATGGCGGTGATCGTCTCTGTGGAGAACGACGTAATGGGGACACCCTGACAGGTGAACCAGACAGAGACTCGATGGAGCCGCCTTTTTCCATTTTATCATTGCAACACAGGGTTTCAATGCACATACGAAAGAGACCAAAAATTATTGATAATAACAAGAAGGTCCCTGTAACCCCTCCTCCAATTATTAAGGTCATGGGAATCACAGAGTTCAAAGGACTGGTGAGAGAGACACTCATATTATGGGTGGAATTTCCCGACGGGTTCACAGCAATACACTGGTATTTCCCAACAAAGTAGTTTCGCAGCGATTTAATCAGCAGGCTCCCATTGGACAATGCATGAACGGAAGTCTCCATGAAATACGGAGGAACTCGCATGTTTAAGGAATGGTGGTAAGTGTTCTGCTCAGGCAACAGCCAATTTCTGTAGCTATGATGAACAATAAGTTCTCCATGTGGTGTTTTCCACACAACAGAGGGTTTAGGATAGCCCGTAGCACGGCAGTTAAGGACTACATTGGTTCGAACAAAGGTGACTACCTCTTCTGTAGCTTCAAACACATATGGTTCTTTACACACCAGGTCCATGGGCCTGAGAGAGTACAGCTGTCTGTTGTGCAAGTGATGTGGGGTTGAACAGTTTACACTGTCTCTATAGGGGTAGGTGACATACGACGGGACATCCCCTGTAAGACTTTGCTGAAGCCATCTCAGACCGCAGTTGCAGTCATATGGATTAGTATGGAGAAACACTTTCTGCAGAGATGTCATATTTTGGAATGTTTCCTCGCTGATCGTCTCCAACATATTATGATCAAGGTAGATGATATTGAGCGAGTTCAAACCTTGAAAGAGGGTAGGGTGGACATACTGCAGACGATTATGACTCAAATCCAGTAAGGTCAACCTAGAAAGTCCCTCAAATGTAGACGGTGGCAAAGACCTTATGTGATTAAATTTCAAATTTAACCTACTAAGACGGTGAAGGTGCTGGAAGAGATCAGTCGGGATGACCTCTATGTTGTTGTAACTCAGGTCCAGCTCTTCTAATAGTTCTAACTCATGGAAGAGGTGATGTGAAAGAACTGAAAGATCATTGTGCCTCAGGAGGAGAGTTTTTAACTTTGACAGCCTATAAAACGCCTCTGGGTGTATCGTCTGAATATGGCACTCGATCACAATGGCTGACTGCAATTGGCGAAATTGCGAAAATGTTGATGGAATGGAAAGAAAATCAGCACCAATGATTGAAAGTTCTTTGGTATTATGTGACATTGGGTTAAGGATTGCCTCCATATCAGTTTGATTGGTGCGATGGCAGTTGACTGTTCGCGTCATCGGATGACAGGAACATTGTTGCGGACATGTTCTGACCGTAGTTGTTGTGGAAGTTTGACATGCAACAAATAACAACAGCAGCAGTAGCAATCTAATACACAATCTTATTCTGTCCATCTTCAGCCTCATTTAGTATACATCAAGACTTCATAATGGTTAACTTATAACTTTTCACCTTGATGTTGTCAACAAGACCTAGAAAGATAAGACAGATGAAGAATAATTAAAATTTATGAAGACACAACGTGCTATAGAGAAAAAATCCAAATCAGATTATTTATTACTCAGAGTGGAATTCCAGGTATGAAAGGCTTTGAATTTTTTGGAAGAATCTTCCCATATTTTCACAAAATTCAGAAAATAATCACACTTGTAATTATGGCTACTGTCAGGAAAATCATGAACATCACTTGCAGATCTAGGATACCAGGAAAGGGCCAACCAAAAGTTGGTTTTGCCAACTGTCAAGCCCTGCGCGTCTAGCATGCGCATTCACTCTCCTCTGAAGTCAGTATTATGCTGATAACATTAGATATCACTATGTGCAGTAGCCCAAAATGTCACACATAATTCACTTCCTTCCATCTTGGCAGCCATGCAGGAAGTGGCATATCTTTTGAGCAATCAAACTGGGTCACTAAGCAAATATGCTTTAATTTTTTCTTTTCTTTTTTGTTTCTTATCTTTTTGATTTGACCATCTATACAAACTTCTTGGCGATGACACCAATTTACACTACGTATTTTGTTCTACTAGTAAGGGTATTAGTAAATATGGCTTCTAAGTTCTATCAAACAATGAAAATGAAACCTTTAAACAGTTCCAACATGAAACAGGGGCATTGTTACATATATGTTATGAAAATTTAAAGACAGAGGAAGTGGCAATTACCAAATCTCACAATGACAACTTCCTTAAAACTTTTTGCGTGACTCAACTTTCACAAGACAGGTAAAATAAATAGTGAAATACCTTTCTTTGTATTTTGTAAGTGCAAAAGGCGTTGGTTTGTCCGCTCAAATAACGCATTGAAAGTCCCTGAATTCACGGAAAATTATTTTAAGGAATACGCCACGTCGTAAATAATCTATACTTTTTTAATGAGGCAAGGAAACGAATAATATACTCACATCTTTGGGTCACTTTTTCTACAGGTAGGCGGCAGACATCTTGGCCTGTTTATCTTACACGGTTATTGTAAAATATGCCATTCCTTCCCTGTCGACGTATTATCTTATAATAATAATAATCCACTTTAAAATTCTAAAAATACATTAGATTTGTTCTAAATTCATTAAAAATCTAATATTTTTCACAAAACTCCGTCTTTTTATCTGTTTTGTTAGATAAGCATTTAATTACTTTAACTTTCCTTGTCAAATCAAGGGGGCGATACTCCAACTTGAGAACAGCAAAGGGTCACGTGACGGCGAGTGACGTTCTTCTGGCAATCAACAAGGATCGGCCATTTTGACGAAAGGGGATTACTTCGTGCACACGTTTTCTTTTACATTTTATCCGTAGAATAGATCCAAGGACTGAGACACAGTTTATGAGAAGAAGCTCGTAGGATGTTAGAAGTTCGGTGGAGCTGGTTGGTGGCTGGGGCCCTTATTATTGCCTGTTTGAACCCCGGCTCAGGTAAGAGTTGTACCGTTTTCGGACTTGTTGTCAGACAGCGAAAGAAACTTGATTGGACTTTGATACCGTTACCTTTTAACGTCGTGTTTGATAGTTTCTTTTGTATTTATGTTGTCATACATGCTTGAGTGTTTGGATATTTTTATAGGAATACAGGATATTACATCTGTTAAATCAAAATTCATACGAAGGACGTGTTTGTTGTGTGATCTTTTTCATAACTCTTAGACGGGCACTGTCGGTGTAAATATAACACATAACGTATCGAATTAACCGATAGTTACAAACAATGATTACATCTGTAACTTCAGCTTGTTTTAAAGAAAAATTTGAATATTCTTTCTTTGGGTTGTATTTTGGCTTGGTTCCTCAAAAGGTCACCCCGTGCATTAGTTTTGCAATGTTAGACTCTAGAGCACGTGTTTAGGTTATGTGTGTTTACTTTATTATTATCATCTTTTGCGAAGAAATAAAAACAAATGTCAGAATTTTTTCACATTGAGCTTTGGGATAATTTGATTTCATTTTTAAAAGTACAAGTGGCGAAGACTGACGTCCATTTTCATTACATAGTCCTGATTTATAAATTATCGCTGATCACACAGTTCTGATAAAATATTTGAATAAGGTTTATAGGAAAAGCTCAAGTTAATGGAAAGATTAAGTCTCACAACTATTTCCTAGCTTGATGTAGATAAAATAATTGGGTATTGTCTAGGACACAGAAAAGATCAATGCTACATTGATCTTTAACTTTGTTTCTCCTGCACATACTGAATATCAGGTTTATTTGACTCGACACATGGTATTTTGGATGCTTTTTTTTTGTCTTTTTCGTAATGTTAAGAGCTGTCACACAATGTCTCAAAGAACTTCTGTAATTGCTTACCTTTTCTATGGGATGACATACCATAATGAGCGCCAATTTTATATATGACATGTTTAGAGTGAACAGTGTTGTCTGTTACTTTTTAGGTATTCAACTCAAGTGTGATACAGAGGGTCTTTGTTATAAGAATAGTGTCAGGTTGTAGCTGGGAGTCCATCCTTAGTAATTTAACACTCCATTGAATAATTCTCTGGCTCGAAGTAGGGGATTACTGTTTTTAAAAAATGGGTTGTTTCAGGTAGACAGAGATTTAAACGGGATTGTTGTGGGGGGTTATATTTTTTCTTTTTCAATAAATTACAAAAGCAATTTTTAATCTACGATAAAAGATGGATAGGCCAGATCCTATGATTAGTTGACACAGGAATCACTATTTTACTGTTATTTATTATACTTTATTAAATGACAAAGTTTTTGAAGTAGGAGGGAATTCTGTCACTAAGATATGTTGTGGACCAAAATGTCCTTCCTCTCTCTTTAATTTTGACNTCGTAAATAATCTATACTTTTTTAATGAGGCAAGGAAACGAATAATATACTCACATCTTTGGGTCACTTTTTCTACAGGTAGGCGGCAGACATCTTGGCCTGTTTATCTTACACGGTTATTGTAAAGTATGCCATTCCTTCCCTGTCGACGTATTATCTTATAATAATAATAATCCACTTTAAAATTCTAAAAATACATTAGATTTGTTCTAAATTCATTAAAAATCTAATATTTTTCACAAAACTCCGTCTTTTTATCTGTTTTGTTAGATAAGCATTTAATTACTTTAACTTTCCTTGTCAAATCAAGGGGGCGATACTCCAACTTGAGAACAGCAAAGGGTCACGTGACGGCGAGTGACGTTCTTCTGGCAATCAACAAGGATCGGCCATTTTGACGAAAGGGGATTACTTCGTGCACACGTTTTCTTTTACATTTTATCCGTAGAATAGATCCAAGGACTGAGACACAGTTTATGAGAAGAAGCTCGTAGGATGTTAGAAGTTCGGTGGAGCTGGTTGGTGGCTGGGGCCCTTATTATTGCCTGTTTGAACCCCGGCTCAGGTAAGAGTTGTACCGTTTTCGGACTTGTTGTCAGACAGCGAAAGAAACTTGACTGGACTTTGATACCGTTACCTTTTAACGTCGTGTTTGATAGTTTCTTTTGTATTTATGTTGTCATACATGCTTGAGTGTTTGGATATTTTTATAGGAATACAGGATATTACATCTGTTAAATCAAAATTCATACGAAGGACGTGTTTGTTGTGTGATCTTTTTCATAACTCTTAGACGGGCACTGTCGGTGTAAATATAACACATAACGTATCGAACTAACCGATAGTTACAAACAATGATTACATCTGTAACTTCAGCTTGTTTTAAAGAAAAATTTGAATATTCTTTCTTTGGGTTGTATTTTGGCTTGGTTCCTCAAAAGGTCACCCCGTGCTTTAGTTTTGCAATGTTAGACTCTAGAGCACGTGTTTAGGTTATGTGTGTTTACTTTATTATTATCATCTTTTGCGAAGAAATAAAAACAAATGTCAGAATTTTTTCACATTGAGCTTTGGGATAATTTGATTTCATTTTTAAAAGTACAAGTGGCGAAGACTGACGTCCATTTTCATTACATAGTCCTGATTTATAAATTATCGCTGATCACACAGTTCTGATAAAATATTTGAATAAGGTTTATAGGAAAAGCTCAAGTTAATGGAAAGATTAAGTCTCACAACTATTTCCTAGCTTGATGTAGGTAAAATAATTGGGTATTGTCTAGGACACAGAAAAGATCAATGCTACATTGATCTTTAACTTTGTTTCTCCTGCACATACTGAATATCAGGTTTATTTGACTCGACACATGGTATTTTGGATGCTTTTTTTTTTGTCTTTTTCGTAATGTTAAGAGCTGTCACACAATGTCTCAAAGAACTTCTGTAATTGCTTACCTTTTCTATGGGATGACATACCATAATGAGCGCCAATTTTATATATGACATGTTTAGAGTGAACAGTGTTGTCTGTTACTTTTTAGGTATTCAACTCAAGTGTGATACAGAGGGTCTTTGTTATAAGAATAGTGTCAGGTTGTAGCTGGGAGTCCATCCTTAGTAATTTAACACTCCATTGAATAATTCTCTGGCTCGAAGTAGGGGATTACTGTTTTTAAAAAATGGGTTGTTTCAGGTAGACAGAGATTTAAACGGGATTGTTGTGGGGGTTATACTTTTTCTTTTTCAATAAATTACAAAAGCAATTTTTAATCTACGATAAAAGATGGATAGGCCAGATCCTATGATTAGTTGACACAGGAATCACTATTTTACTGTTATTTATTATACTTAATTAAATGACAAAGTTTTTGAAGTAGGAGGGAATTCTGTCACTAAGATATGTTGTGGACCAAAATGTCCTTCCTCTCTCTTTAATTTTGACAACATTTACTAGTATTATGTTTTACAGTACCGGATATTTTCGATAATAATGAAAAGTCTGCCTGAGAAATAGATTAAGGATTTGTCGCCAGAGTAGGACTCCAGACTAGTGAAAGCTCCTTTAGCTAGATTAAAACTATTTTTGATGAGAGCATTGTGCAGTTGCTTAGTCTGCATCTTACATATTTTTTGTTTACCTTTGTAAAAAAAAAAAAATCGCAAGAGGCCATAGCCATTTTATGTAAGCTGAACATACAGTTGAGGCCATACAGTTGAATGCACATATCCTATTAGTTGACTTTATTTTTATTTTTTAGGGTAGGGGTATTATTATCCGTGATCACAACTGTACCATATCCATTGTTCTTAGATTTATACCTGAAAAAATACAGAAGACATCTGCCTCAGCTTGATGGGGTCTTGTTTGCAGCAAACGGACCAGAAAATGTCAAATTGTCCTTTATGGGCTTCTATTCCCTCCCTCCCATGCCATAGAAATTTATGGGTCTCGCTCACCATCTGTCACCAGGCTTCTTATAGTAATGGACTTGTTATAAATGTAAGAGCTTTGTTTCCCCAAACACATTACCTGTTTGAAAGGGGCCAGATTATTTCACATTGGTCATGTGATGGACGTTAAGGAATTTAAATAGCCCCCTTGAATTAATTTGTGTGTATGTACAGAGACTAGTGACCAGCAGGTCTTGGTCATTGGTGTTAATGCTGTGGACGTGGTATGTTTGTTTATGAAAAGTCATGGTTAATTACCCCCCCCCCCCCTTTATCCATTCTACTTTCGTAACTTTTTTGTGATCAATGGATAATTTTTGTACAACATGAAAGGTGATTTACGTTATATTAAAATGGGACGATACACTAAAGAAATTGCTTGTAAATTTTTTTTTTTTTTACTTAAATTTTGGCAACGTGTGGAGTCTGTGAGCTCAGAATATAGTATGATGAATTGTGACAAAAGTTCTGTGATATCAGTAGACACAAAGCAGATGTGTTTTAAGACCAAAGCAAGATTATGGTAATAAAGTCACCGATGAACAGATATTGTGAAATTCAAAGATTACGCCACTACATATCAACTATCTGTCAAACATGTTGTAAGATAAGATGGCAAGCGTGGCACCGTTTGCATGAATTTTGTTTTTGCTGGTGTGCTTGAAATATAAAACAAATCAAAATTTTAAGCTTTTGTCCAAGTAGCGAAATTATTTAAGCTGATTGTTTTCATTCACCAAAAATGAAATAATTTGTAATCACTAGGTAGAATTTTACCATGTAGCAAAAAAAAAAAAAGAAGAGATGGCAAGATATCAACTCACTTAACATAATTCAGGTATGTTTATATTGGCACTGTTAATGGTGGACTTTGATAAGCTGTAGTATATCTCTCAGGTATGATGATAAACTTAGATATTACCTGTATAGAGGGGGGAAAGTACTTTTGACTGGGCAAAGTTCACACTGCGTGACTAAGGAAGGAAACATTCACACGGACGGGACTTTTTGTGCTCTTTAACCCTATTGTATTATTTGTTATAAAGGCTCGTTCACAACTAGATCATCTTAGATCAGAAATTGATTGAAAACTTGCTGAACAATGCGTCCTCAGAGATGTGCTATTTATATTACACCATAAGGAGTCTACTGTGTGTGGTCAAGCAATCGAATTTCCTTCGGGGATGTGGGGGGAGGGGTATGCAGTAGCGTAGAGTTCTGTGGCACCAGTCACACTTCATTTGATGAAAAAATAAACCTGGTCAGGGAGACAATAATAAACCTAGCCGTTGGTTTATTACGATCATTCAGAAAAGGCTACTGCTGGGCTGGTAACTTTCGTGATGACTACGTAGCAAACTGATAACCCTAGGAATACAACTTTTGCTTATGGAGAACCAGATTTGTTTGCATGTTGGATGCTGTGTGAATGTTCCTTCTGACTAAGTGCACCTGCCTCAGAAGGGACTAATAGGGATCATCAAGCTATGGTGAAATCAGGTTGTTGTGGTACAAAGTACACGTGGTGTCCCCAGGTGCAACCTGATTTTACCTTTTGGTACAGATACTGGATAGCAAACCAGTATCAAATAGTTGTTGACAACTTGTTTCAGAGGAATATTTTCCTTCAGTTGTCTTCTTCTGTTGGTTTTTGTCGTGAGTTATCTAAAAAGCAAATGTCACAGAAGGAAAATAATTTAAAAACAGAATACCTATAGCTCTGCAAAAATGAAAAAAAAATCAAAGTCAATGGTTCATAAGTAAATCATTTAAGATTTTATAAATGAACTATGGAAATCTCCCTTTTTTATTTGTTTTTATTTTTGGAAAATGCTGGTTGAATTTTTACTTTTTACACTTGTTGTACATTTTTCATAGGCAAGTGTTGTATTTTGAGATGAAGGGCTTGTTCAATAGATGTAGTTCATCTTGTTTAGTAGTTCATCTTGTCAATATTCCTGAAACACCCAACTGAATGCCAGCAGTAAAGATAAAGGAAATTGGCTTTCTTACCTAGAAGGAAGACTGGTGGAAAGAGAACAAATGTGAAGCCTTTCAGAATAAGCAAGCGGAAGACACTATCAGAATCTATTTGAGGGTTATGTGTGGTTATGATTGTTATATTACCATTAAAAAGATGCGACTCGACCTTAGGGTCTTACAGCAATATGTACCTCTGGCCCATAACCTGTGCCTCATACTGTAGAAACTTGAAAATTTGAAGGTCTAGAAAATTTTTTCAGAAGGGAGTTCTCCACTTACATTTTTTCTTTTTTCTTTTTTTTTTCACTGAGAAAATGGACCTCTGTATAATTTTTAAAAGTTCTTCACCTAATATGGACATGTCGGATTCAGGGATTTTCAAATATATATATATTTTTTAATTTNTATTAAATGACAAAGTTTTTGAAGTAGGAGGGAATTCTGTCACTAAGATATGTTGTGGACCAAAATGTCCTTCCTCTCTCTTTAATTTTGACTTCATTCACTAGTATTATGTTTTACAGTACCGGATATTTTCGATAATAATGAAAAGTCTGCCTGAGAAATAGATTAAGGATTTGTCGCCAGAGTAAGACTCCAGACTAGTGAAAGCTCCTTTAGCTAGATTAAAACTATTTTTGATGAGAGCATTGTGCAGTTGCTTAGTCTGCATCTTACATATTTTTTGTTTACCTTTGTAAAAAAAAAAATCGCAAGAGGCCATAGCCATTTTATGTAAGCTGAACATACAGTTGAGGCCATATAGATTCCTATTGATATAACAGTTTTAGTGAATGCACACATCCTATTAGTTGACTTTATTTTTATTTTTTAGGGTAGGGGGTATTATTATCCGTGATCACAACTGTACCATATCCATTGTTCTTAGATTTATACCTGAAAAAATACAGAAGACATCTGCCTCAGCTTGATGGGGTCTTGTTTGCAGCAAACGGACCAGAAAATGTCAAATTGTCCTTTATGGGCTTCTATTCCCTCCCTCCCATGCCATAGAAATTTATGGGTCTCACTCACCATCTGTCACCAGGCTTCTTATAGTAATGGACTTGTTATAAATGTAAGAGCTTTGTTCCCCCAAACACATTACCTGTTTGAAAGGGGCCAGATTAT